CAACGTTGTAAAACCCATCGTGCATGTTCTCCTCTAAATATTTCAACGTCCATCTGTGCACAGGCGTTTTCTCGGCCATGGCTCTGTCCGAAAATACATCCGTAATTACCACAGGCTCGCCCCTGGCGATAAGCAGCCTTGCCTCACTCAAGTTGCGCCGAGGAACCATGGGTATGTGAGGGTGCACAGCCTGAAGTGCTGGATGTCGGGACTGGTTTAGGAGCTGCGAGGAGTCTACGTCATCAAAGACCGCCTCCAGCTTGGGACCCAGATCCTGAAGCTCAGCTCGGATTGCAGGGGCAAGATCCGGAGCTGCAACATCCAAAGCGCGCTCGAGGAAGTGGTACCTCTTGGCGAGATCGCCATTCGCAATCTTAGCGAGCAACTCCTGGGCTGTTCCTTGCGGCTCCTCGCAGCTATCAATCGTAGCGATCGGGTGTGCTGGGAAGCAAGCTTGCCTCACCAAGCTCCAGCCACAGCCATCCAAACGCACACACTGAAGGCAGGAGGTGGCCTGCCGGCACGCTGCGTACGCTGCATGTTCACATTGTTCAGGTTCAGGCTGGACACTTCTCTCTCTTTGTGTCTCGACGATCTCTCGGGTGATGGAATACTCCTGCAATGACCCATCAATCACAAACTCACTGACTGGCGCCAGAATTCCAGCTGCGGCAAACGAGAACGAGTGTCCAATGCTCACCTCCATTATTTTTGAGCCACCGGCAGGAATTGGCCCAAACACCTGGCGTGGCCCGTCTCCGGGATCTCCATGCCAGAGGACATTGAACTCGGTGTCGCTCAATTTATTCCAGAAGGTCACATTCAGAAGGGCAGCATGCAATGAAGGAGCGTGCGCAAGGAGAATGAGCGCTGACAGCCACATGCTGCTGCCGCGGTCAGCAAGCTGATGCAAAAGTGTCAACGGGGGAGTCGGGAATTTGACTGCACCTGAAAAGAATGGGCCAAAGGAAATGTGCCTGTTCACGTCGCAAAACATGTCTAATCCCTGTAAGATCTACCGTGCATTGTTTGCTTTCGTGTTGTCACATTGTAAAAACGTATCGTCACCATGTGTTTTGCATTGTGAACATGTGTCACCATTGTCACCGCTGTTAGCAGTGTCACCTATATACATTTGTGGGTCACCATTGTCGCCTACAAAACTTGCTCACCTATATATATATATACATATGTGTATATATATATATGTATACGTGTATATATGTACATATCTATACATATATATGTAGATATATAGAGATTTGTGGACATGAAATTCTAGGTCCGGCCGTCGCCTGGCCCTCCGCCGGCAGAAGCTCCAGGGACAGCCGCGGCACCGCAAGCACCGCGGCCCGGGCGCGCTCCGCCTCAGCTGGGCGGAAGAGTCGACGGAAGACCCTCCCACCAACTAACATGGAAGTGCAAAAAGGTCCTTCCCAAGAGGAAAGTGGTCCTTCTACAGGGGTCTGTGCACTTCCATGTTAGCTGGTGGGAGGGGATGTGTTTTGTTTTTTTCCACCGCTTCGGGATTTTTCACAGTGCGCTTTGGAATGGAAGTTTGGCCTGTTTGGTGCTGCTTTATTGCTTTGCTGTTGTGAGTGGATCGATTATTTGCTTCTGGTGTTAGGCCTGCCAGCTCCTGGGTTTGCTGCAGACTTTCTCAGAGAGGAGCATTGCCTGATCGTGAGCCACCTCATGACCCCGGAGGCTTGGTTCCACTTTCAAGGCTTTCAGATCTGACAGCAACTGCGCCCAACATATCTGCAGCAAAAGCTCAATCAACGCACATGGATTTGAGAAAGCCTGAAGGTTCGTCTGAAAAACCATGCGCAAACCACAAGAGGAAGGACCTGGGTTCGGTCTCGGTGCCCGGCTGGCGAAGCCTCTTGGACGACCTCTTGCGCCACGACCTCTTGCGACACCACCTCTTGCGGTGCCTGGCTACAAGGGCGCCAAGCTCAACCAGGCCAATTTTGCTCGTGGGGCATGAAGGAGACGCCGCTTATAGAAAGAGTAAGAGCTAAAAGAGCCAGGGCCAAGTAGTGACAGGAGCGAGGCTTTGCACCCAAATCGAAAATGAGCCGAAAATCCCTGACATGAGTGCACGTAGGGCATGTCGGGCATGTCGGGCATGTAGGGCATGTTGGGCAGGTAGGGCATGTAGGGCATGTACGGCATGTAGAGCATGTAGGGCATGTAGGGATGCAGCTACAGCTACAAAATAGGGCTTCCCAGGGTCGAAAACCGAATGCATTCACTCCGACAGAATCATGAATAACAAATTCAAAACAAACTTTGGCTCCCTCTCAGCGGCACACTTTCCCACGCTGAAACAAAGTCAAATGGAGTGACAAATGTCCCCCACCTCCGTGTGAGCTTCGTCTTCCTGTGCCTCGCGTAGCTGCGCGGCGCTCCGCCGCAGCTCGTTCGCGCCTCAACATTTGCATCTGATTCGTCTCAATTCCTTCAGGGCTGTGAATCTCGATGGCAACCCTCAAAAATGGTGCTTGGACACAAATTGCCAGGAACATGATGTTGACCTGCCCAAGCGAAATCATACCCAAATGGGACTCTAGTAAATTGAATCACACCTGAGATTCCTCAGCGGGTCGTCTGGGTCAATGCAGAAGCATGTATATCTCTTCACCAAGCATCATACGTCTCAGAGAACACACTGGATTTGTTGATTGAAGTATAGGCAAGCCCGAATACGGGGAGGTCTGGAAGTGTTTGATTGCCTCTGGCTGAGGAGGGCAGCGAGCATGAATCAAAAGCTTCGTTGTTGTGAGACGGTGCGAAGATTCTTGCGAACATGGGACTCTACGGCTGCTCTACCCGATGCTCAACCCAGCAATCAGGCTGAGGGGGCTTCCAAATCATGTGTGTGTCATCTGCCATCCTTAAACATATGAGAACTGCATGTCCGGGCATGGCCTGGTAGCATGGGAAATGAAGCACGACGGGTGGGCAAATTTAACTCATGGGGCTGACTGAAGGCAACAGACCTGCGTTCATCGTCACTGGCAAACCAAAAGCGAGCTGTCATGCAGTCTGCTTCATCACCAAGAATGTGCACAATCGAATCCCTAAACTCCTGTCAAACATGCTAATTGTGGTTCTCTCAGAGTCAAATGACGCGCACTTGCCGAGCAACCGATTATCGATACAAGCACTCAAAGCAGATCTCCAAGGTGCAAATACGGTGCAAATTTCATAAAGACCCATGCCAAAAGCGGAAATCCGGGTCATCAAAGACCCACAAACATCATCCACGTCATGTTTGCATGGGCCGCAAAAAGAATGGGCGCGAAGCTGTCAAATCCCGCAAACGAAAGATCCCCGCACAGCCAATCCCTCTCTAATCAGGTAATTGTTGGGTCAACCCACCCACCCACCCACCCACACCCACCTACATCAAACCCACCCACACCCAGCCGCACCCACCCACGCCCACCCACCCATCCACCCCAACCATCCGTTGTGGGCACCACATCACTGGCTATGCCATCACTGGCTATGCCATCACTGGCTATGCCATCTCGCCGCCACGCGCGCCGCGCGCCCCATGCGCCTTCTTCCCAGGCATCGCCGCTCCGCCGCAGCGCTGAGTCCAGGAGCGCCTGCCGCCGCAGCAGCAGGGACGTCGTAGCTGCCGAGAAGGCCTTGAGGGCTCCAAACGTAGGCAGCACTCTTCACGTGTCCGACGACACTGGCTCCTGCTGACGCTGTCTTAGATCCCTGCATCAGCGTACAGACAAGACATGAAACCCCAAAGCATTTTGGTGGCAAGTGTGTTAGATTCAGTCAAAGTTGGCTTTCTGCAAAACATGTTTGGGCACTTGTAGTGCAGTGTACTGGTCTGTTCCAAGTTCGCTTGAATGTTTCACAATCAGCATCATTGCTACCAAAAAAGTATGCCCTAGCGTACAACGAAGTAAAGTGAAAAGAACATGCTTTGGCTGGTAGTAACTCAAACCCCCCTCTTATCATGGGACGAGCCAGTTGTCTCTGAGAGAGTCGTTGCTGCTACTCCAAGAGCCGCCGTTTGGGAAGCCCAAGGCTTGAAATGAACTCGTTGTCATGGCCGAAGTCGCGCGCGTACTATCGGCCTGTTGTGGCCCTGATCGCAAGCAATCGAGGCCGTGGGGAAACCGTGCGAACGCAGCCTTGTTTGACTGCGGAACACGTGCGGTAGCGCACTGGTTGTAGCGGTGTGCCAAAACTTTCGGGCGCATCGTCGCCAGTTCAAGGGCGATGGTAATCTGGTCGACTTTGAGCTTCACTGCTTTCCAATGCCCTTGTTGTCATTCGTGTGGGGATCCATTCGGGCTCCATGTGCCACCGCATCTGGAACCCCTTCACTGGCAAATGGCCGCAAATTATGCCTGGTTACGTTTAGATTTAAGTAAATCATCAATGCATTGATCCGGACCAACGCCAAACGCGCCAAACCGCACAACAAAACCATGAAGCTACACCAATGTCTCAAAAATCGGAACTTGATCAAGTTTCGCATCTGCGCTCCAAATAGCCTGGGACGTATGTCATGATGAAGCCCACTCAAATGAACGGCCCATCCCTGCGACTTTCACCCATGCCTGCACTGCTTCCTCCCGCTGTTGCTGCACCAGCGCCAGCTGGTCCACCCGGCCCGCCAGCTCCTCGGGTCCGGAAACACGTGCTGTGCAAACAGTGAGAAAGGAATCGAAGGCCGCACATGTATTTTAAGCATTTTCAGCAAACCTCCTAGCCTGCGGACTTAGCCGACAGCCTTCAGTGCTCGTGTGAAACTCCACCACCCTAGAGGTGAGTTTGCAAAGCCTGTCGTACCACCAATGATCCCGAACGAGAAGCTAATATTCTTCGCTGTTTACTCCAAGCTACTGAATAGCTATTGACATGGCTTGCTCCTGTGCAAGGCAATAGTTGGCATGAGCCTCTGAGAATGTGGGCGAGGGCAAGGAAGCCCGTCGGCACATTGGCTGCTCAGCACGATAAGCTTAGGAGGGCGCATCCAAAGACTCGGTAAGTATCGGAGCACACCCGTCTGCAACCATTTCCCTCACCGCAAGGTACTCATGCTGCATCTTGGTCACAATCTGCTTGGTGTGGCGTTGACTCTGGCTCTTGTGCTCGTAGAGCGACTCCAGCATTTTTTTGCAGGAGTTCTTCCACACCTTTCCGCCATCGAGGGGTTTCTCCACACGCGGCTTCTCTGCAACGGTCTGGGCATCCCCATGAAGCACGAACCAGAGCACATCTGCGAGCTGACACACGTTGGTGTCCAACGTCTCCTCCCCCATTGCTGTTCTATATTGTGCAGTGGGAAGCTGGAGACGAAGGTGGGCAGTAAACGGGTTGTCACTGTCACTGTCCGCTACCGCGTGCTTCTTCACCACGACATTCTCCAATGTGAAGACTGGGAGACATGGTCCGAGATAGAGAAAGTAGTTCCAGGCCTGAAACGCTGTGAGGGCAAAATACATCTTGTGGTCGCCGCGAGCATTCTTGCCCTCGCTTGTCTGCATGAACGCCGGCAATGCCTCGCTTGCCTTCTCGCAAATGATTCCCAAGGCTTTGCGATCTTGCACCGCTGCTTCTCGCTCATCTACCACACAGCCATACATTTTCACAAAACCAGGATAGTCTTTTTCGATCCACTGGGCAACGGTTGGCAGTGCTTCTAAAGCAGGTCGTTTCTCGACAAACTCCAGGTACTCCATGTCAGGAAGCTCCACGTCCTTGTCTGCAGGCTTTACACCGAACAGCCGATCGCCGTTCAAAAAGACCTGCAGTGGCGCTTTGTCGATCACGAACTCTGTAAGATGGCACTGGAGCACGCTGTCAGCGAGGTCCAACTGCTCTTGTGACGGAACTGCCGGAGCTGTGCCCGCGGATGCGCTCGCGCCGGATGCGTTGGATCCTTCCAGCAGGTCGAATGCTTCTCGCAGCTGCGAGCGCTCCCGTGGCGTGAGGCTGGCCACCAGCCCAGGCACATCCACCCCGTCCAGCGAAAGCTTTTCGCCCGGCATCTCGTATAGAAATCGGTCGGATGGGCCAAAGTTTTGAGCCAGTCGACTGCCCGCCCAAATCCTTGGACAAGAAACAAGGATGCTGACAATCACATGAGCAATGGTCCTGTGAAAGCTGGTGGCGTGACAAATGAAAGATCCTGTCCCAACATAGGGGGGCCCTTTGTGAAAAACAAACTCGCATTTCGAGCGCCAAAGATTCTTTGATCCCTTCGCAACAAATTTCCTCTGGGGCTCCTCCACTGCGGCAGTCTGCGCGTGTGCGGCTGCCTGGAGCTTGCCTTCTGCCTTCCCGCCAGCGGCCGGGAGGCTCGGTCACCAAAAACTAAATGTGGAATCTGTGGCTTTGCCAAGCTCTTCCAAAATTAGCTTGGAGAGGAAGAAAAATGGATAAGAGCAGAAAGGTTGCTAAGCCCGCAAAGCAGAAACCAAGTCAATCACGGGAAGCTGGTGATAAGCGGCAACATCTGAATGCCAAATCAACATGCCTGGACTTCAAAGCAAGAGTCGGAGAAATGTCCGTGTAAGTCCTTGTCAGAGTTGTCAACGTGGCTGATGGAGAATAGGTATCAGAGTTGGCTACAAGGCTATGGCAAGTAATCAAAGTGCAGGATATTGGACTCGCCATTCTATACAAAGGCAGAGACAGAGAGAGACAGACAGAGACAGAGAGACAGACAGAGACAGAGACAGAGACGGAGACAGAGACAGAGACAGAGACAGAGACAGAGACAGAGACAGAGACAGAGACAGAGACAGAGACAGAGACAGAGACAGAGACAGAGACAGAGACAGAGACAGAGACAGAGACAGAGACAGAGACAGAGACAGAGACAGAGACAGAGACAGAGACAGAGACAGAGACAGAGACAGAGACAGAGACAGAGACAGAGACAGAGACAGAGACAGAGACAGAGACAGAGACAGAGACAGAGACAGAGACAGAGACAGCCAGGCAGGCAGACAGACAGAGAGAGAGAGAGAGAAAAGCAAAGATGTCACTGCCACATCCTTTGCCAAGGAAAGCTAGCAAACAATTCTTGCACGCTGCAATAATAGGCATGAAGGCAGTTTCTAGATAATTCTCCACGTCTGGCGTCAAGTGTTCCTCCTTGTCGTTTGATGCATTTGTGAAATATGTGCCGTCCGTGTTCTCCATTCACCACTCAACATGCCAGCATGCCTTATCCACACTCTCAGTCTCGGGCAAGTTTGTACGGAATTCGAAGACCAAAACAAATCTTTTGTTCGGTATGATTTTGCTATCCTGTATTGACTGCCTGAAAGTTCACACATTCTTAGCACACAACAGCAGGCTGCCAACCTGCAGGCCAGATGTGAAAGGGGCTTCCAAAGGGGCTGCCGCATTTCCCCTTGATGCTGGCGGCCATGCCATCACGAAAAGGTGGGCGGTTGTCTCAATTCTGGGCGGTTGCGCGTGCGCGCTTGCTCTCTGTCCGTTGGCCTTCTGACTCCAGACCCTCCCCCGTCCCTGCTGCCTTGGTGGCCTTCTTCAGCATCCACCGCAACATGCGGCCTCCCTTAGCCTCGCTCTGAAGCAGCCTCTCCTGGCTGCTAAGAAAAGGCATTCAAATACTGAAACCCTAGCCCGGCGCCAAAGTTTGGTCCCCCTGTTTGAGACATAGACAAGTCCAAAAAAGTATCGCTGCCAATGAAAATCCCAGAGATGCACGTGACGATCTCAGCCCGGATCTGCATTTGCAGATTTGCTCTGCGCCATGTTTGGTGGGTACTGTGATTGGTTCCAAAGAAATGTGACTTTCCACAAAAAACTGACATGTGAGCAGACATGAAAGGCCGTCTCAGTCTGCAATTCGACAAAGTTGAGAAGCCAAGTAGGCCTCGGGTCGAAACTCTAGTATGGTGTCATAGCTAAGTTAGAAACTGGGAGCTGCAATCGAATGTCACGGAGCATGCAAAGGCAGCGCAGCGAGTCTGTTATTACCTAGCACAGGACTTGGGCATCTCAGCGAGTCTAGCCTGCTTGGCACGCCCTGGCCGAGGTGGTGGGTCCCATCAGCATTGAAGAAAATTGCACCAGTCCCCTGGCTTTGTCGATTGGGTTGTCATGGGTACTAACCCATTCAACCCACAGGTGCAAGCTGCGTCTCATTGCCTCCTGTTGGCACGCATGATTTCGTCGAGCATTTCTGCTGCTGCCACTCCTTTGCGGCAGTGTTGTCTCTGAAGTGTACCCATAGCATTTTTTGCAACTCAGGCCAAGTTGCCAGGGCCAATAGCTGCCTGGGCGCGCAACGCCCACTTGTCGAGCAAGCGCTGTGGCACAGCAGTTGTTGCGACCTCGGGCCTGAAGCGAGAGGGACCCACAAGCCCGCAGCAACGTTGCCGGTCCCATCTCCATCTGAGATTGTGACTGCAAGTTCAAGGTGCGCAAAATCACAAGAGATCTCCCTCCCGTTTGCGTGCCATAGCACGTGCTCCAGCCAATCCAGCATGGCCACTAAGGCAGTGTTCAGGCCAGCGCGGAAGCTCCTTTGGCGCAACCGCAAGGTTGCCAGAATTGCGGCCCGCGAGCACCCCCAAAGAGTGCTGCGCACCCAGTTGAACGAGCCATGCAACGAGGAAGCGTCTTCTAATGTGATGCGCCTGCTAGCGCGGTGAGCTTGCAGAGCAGCGAAAATTTTCTGAATTTTGTTGCGGCACAACCAGGCCACAGGGTTGCCGCTTCCCAGGGTGCGCTGAACCCCCAACAAACGGAACTCATCTGCAGCTGGCTTTTGGACGCATCCCAGCGCCAGCCTAAGCGCGCTTGCGCGGCTGTGCGGGCTGACTCAATGGCCCATTTGCCACCACTGTAATGGCACAAGAGGATGGCAAGCCACAAAAACAAAGTGAGGAGGATGCTGCACAAAAATGAGCTGCGCGGGTGAGCCTTCAAGCTTAGGCCCCAATGTCTGCGTGAGAGAGGAATCACTCCAACTCCAACGACTCCAAACATGCGTTGCACCTCAAGCTTCATGCCTCCTAGGCCGACCCCCTAGCAGGGTAGAAGGGCAACGAAACTGGGAGCTGCAATCACATGTCACGGTCTGTTTTCACCTAGCACAGGACTTGGGAATCTCAGCGGGTCTAGCCTGCTTGGCACGCCCTGGCCGAAGTGGTGGGTTTCAAGGTTTCCGCCATCCACTCTGTCCGATTTGAATAACTCGGAATATTGCTCGAGAGGCTAGTCAAGCATGCGGCACACGGTGCTCACATTGACACAATTGACATATCAAGCATTTGCTCACATTGCGTTGCTGCAGAAATGTGCCAAGCATGCGCCACATGGTGCACACATCAAACGCAATCGACATGTGAAGCAAGTCTGCCGAGCGGGCTGTCGCATTGTATGAATGTTACTCCAGTATTTGGTCAAGCATGCGGCGCACGGTGCTCAAAGCGAGAACTGCCGACACATGAAGCCAAAACTGGTGAGTCGCCTGTCGCATTTGCATGAATGCCGCTCGAGAAAATTGTTGTAAGCATGTGGCATATGGTGCTCACAGCGAAAACAAGTGACGTGTCAAGCAAATCTGCCGAAACCGATTTTCGGCATTCCGTAAGGGTTGCTCTTAAACTTGCTCGCATCGAATACATGACTGCTGCGTTTGCATGATTGCCTTCAAACTTAAGCCCCAATGTCTGCGTAAGAGAAGAATCACGACTCCCAAACATGTGTTGCACCTCAAGCTTCATGCTTCCTAGGCCGACCCCCCCTACCAGGGTAGAAGGGCAACAATCCTCTGCGCTAAAAGCGATCACTGATCTTTTCCTTTCAGCAAAGTGTGTGCGTGTGGGCCAGAGGCTTGCAATCCCCTTGGTCCTGCCAACAGGCCTAAAGGCGAGAGAGCCGCACAGCATCCGAGGCGCTGTCGTCGATCGCCATCCAGCGATCTGGATCAAAGCCCGCGAAGCTTGTCTGTGTGTGTGTGTGTTGAAGGCAAGGGAGCGCCAGCGCGCG